TCGTCGTCGTCGTCGTCGTCGTCGTCGTCGTCGTCGTTGTTGTAACGAAAGAAGCAATCATTTTACAACAATTACAACGAAAGAACTTGTAAAAATAACAATTTATTTTATTGATTATTGGCGAAAGCGATTACTTTATATAACATTTACAGGTGAAGAATTTTCTTCTATTGCTTGCCTATGTCAACAATAGCGGCATTTTGATCTCTAATTTCTATTTTTCTTTTTTCTTTTTTTTTCATTTCTTTTCTTTCTTTCTTTTGTTCTTTTCCTTTCTTTCTTTCTAGTATACATCAATTTATAATATCCCTCATTTTTCTATTTATAACTATTGTATAAGTAGTGTTGTTGATTATAACATTTGTACATAGTATGAGAATTATGTCATTTTATAATTAGTTCGCTCTTTCGTTGATTATAACTTTGAATCGCATAAATTAGCTACTTAGGAGAAAAAAGTAAAACGAAAATACCTCTGTGATGTGAAAAATTGAGCTCTCGCACGCGCGTGCGTATCATCCCATATACAAGCCACACTCGCACTCACTCGCACACGCACGCACGCACGCACGCACACACACACACACACACACACCGAAATGCAAAATCGCCTTCAGGTCTAATAAAAAATTCACATAAAAAAAAATCTTAGCTCGGTATTCTACACATAAGTACTTGTAAAGGATCGTCCGAGCACTTTTCTACAATTATCGATACAATAATAATAGTAGTAATAATAATAATAATAATAATAATAATAATAATAATAATAATAATAATAGAAAAAATAAATAAATAACTTTGACAATTGATCAAGCCCAGCACTAATTTGCAACTATCTAAATCTCATTGTTCTTATCAACGAAAAAGAAATCTGTACAAAAGCAATAAAAATAGAAAAAAAAATGCAAACAGCAGTAAATTCCCTTGCGAAATTACTCATTATCACAATATAAACAAAGCACTGAATTTTTAGCGGAAGGCGATTTTGCCGAACGATCCCTAAGTTCTTGCTTATAATAATCATTACCTTTGCATGCTATTTAAATAAAAACGAGTTAAAGGAAGAACGAGGCCACCGCTCCCCTACCTATTCACTTCGTTATCTAATATATAACAACTGGGTAGCAGGTGCAACCCTCCGCCTTCCTTCAAATTTGAAAAACATTGCTAACTAGTTTGAGGTCGGCGCGCGAAGGCTGACCGGACCGCGAGCCTAACTACACCTTACAACACAGCGCACTTATTACAAACTTCCCTACAAACTGCATTCTTGAGAGGATCGTGTGTTTGCTAGCTAATGACGGCCCCCGGGTCCATGCGTCGGACGGACGGCTGGCGGCATCCCAAGAGGTAGTGGCTATTCCTAGGATCGTTTCTGGCGGCGGCGCCTCCATTAGTTTTTTCGGCCACCGCGACGCTTCATCGAGGAGGTGCACTGAGGACAGTACCACTTGCCTTTCGGTGGTGCAGTTATGTTCACACATGGGTAGTGGAACCACTCGAACGGGCACTGAAAAAACCATATCATATCGGTCATTTCATGCAACATTAATTAACAACGGCCACTTACGATAGCGTAAAAATTAAACAAAGGCTCCCGGATCCTACGCCCAACTCCCAAAGTTACATACAATTTACATGGCGATCCACACACACGCACACACACACCAGACCAACCCCCCCCCCCCCCCCCCCCCACCACCCATACTCATATCTCTGGAGCCGATTGTGCCAAAACCGGTTGTGAAAAAGCACTTATTCAAGAACTTACGTCAGAGTTGTCGCATGCCACCATGTCGCCATAGGAAACCTGATTGCATATGCAGTACCGGGGCTCGTTAGGGTCGAAAGTCCAGTCGGGGTTGTCCGAGTCAGTGACAGCGGTCGCCTGCGCGGCTGCAGCGGCTGCAGCCGCTGCAGCCGCCGCTGCGGAACTCGACGTTGTTCCGACCTGAGCAGCGACCGTAGCCGCGGCAACCGCCGACTGCTGTTGTTGCTGCTGTTGCTGTTGCTGTTGCTGTTGATGCTGCTGCTGCTGCTGCTGTTGATGATGTTGCTGATGCTGGTGAACCTGGTGATGATGGTGGTGCTGCTGATGGTGTTGATGTGTCTGTTGTTGTTGCTGCTGCTGCTGCTGCTGCTGCTGTTGCTGCTGTTGTTGTTGCTGCTGCTGTTGCTGTTGCTGTTGTTGCTGTTGCTGCTGCTGCTGCTGGACCGTCGAAGGCATGACATTGGCGTTCGGGACGTTCGAGGTAGTCACTTTTCTACGAGTCGATGTGAAAATGGCGATTTAGTTGCAGTAGCCGAGATTGTTTGAGGGGATCATGGGATTTTGGATATCATTGGAGAATTTTTGGGGATTGGGGTTTTTGATCGAACGGTTTATCAAACTTTTAAATACCATGCGGAGAAAGAGCCTGAAACTTGCTACGTTTCGATCATTCCAACAATTCATTCGTTTATTTGATCCAAATGGCTTAGAATATTGTTGCCTTATCACCACAATTAACATTTAAATTCTGAGGTTTTTTTAATGAAATTATAACTTTGTATTTTTAATTCAATTTATAAATTGTTATTTTTAAATTTTTAAAGATGTTGCAATACAAAGTTTTGAGAGTATATCAATAGTACAAATTCATAACAAAGTGTAATTAATAATAATAATTAACCGATTATAATGTTGAAATTTGGATATTATTGCACTTTAATTATTCTTATTTGTTTTTAATGTAGATTTCCGATAATTGAATAATTAAATCTAGTTTATAATAAATGAATTCAAATTAATACATAGTTGTTATAAATGTTAATGTCTATCAGTCTCTCTCTCTCTCTCTCTCTCTCTCTCTCTCTCTCTCTCTCTCTGTATGTATACACGCATGTGATTTTGATAAATATTAATATATATATATATATATATATATACACAAGTATTTTGGCAATCAAAATATCTAAAATTTAAAATTTAATTTTAGTTAGAAAATAACAGTTACTAACACAAATATCGCAAATGGAAAATTATCCATTTGCCCTTTCCCAAAAAATAAAATCATAAATAACAGTAAAAATCTCGTTTATTTGTAAATTATTTGCCATTAAATGAAATATCAAATGTGTTCATTCTCTTGATTTGAAATTTTATTCCGAAATATCTAGATGTAGGAAAATTTGTCATTTTTCAGCAGAAATCTCATATATTATTAGTAAAAATGAGCATGAGATAATTAAGAAGTATTCGAGCTATAATATAAGTGAATATAATAACTGCCGCACTCAACTGGAATAAATAATTTTTCGATTATGACAGAATACAACAGACTTCTACTTTTCTATTAGTAAGAAACCTCAAAGTGTAAGTATCAATTTTTCCAGGTGTCACTTTCCTACTGCGGGAGTTGACGTGTCACTACATACCATTACAACCTAAGAGGCCGACTTAACGTTCAAATGATAAAACTGAGTTACCAAAATCCTCTATCTGAGCCTTACTCAGCACCAAACTGAGTTGGTCGGATTAAGGAATACATGAAAGTATCTAAAATGGCATGAATCGCTTTTAAATATCTATCAACAGTGACAAATTCAAATTTCTTATTCATGCGTTCGAATAAATTCCATCGGCAAAGTAATGGCAAAGATCTCCTTCCCCAAAGTAATCCCCCCATCGTCCGACTAAATCTGAATTTTCCACCATACATTAGCATCCCTTATCAAAATCCAAATTTCAAATTCTCCTTGGTTCCGATGCTGCCAAGTACCTCGAAACTTTATGAGAAACATTACAGCCACAAATGGTCAACCATCCTCGACATTACTGATCCATTCAGCCAAAACTCAAGTCTCCCCCGATCATTCGTACCTCTCCACCACCGACCCTCCCAACCCCGTTCACCATTCCCCGAGTTCCATACTCACTTTTTGTTCTTCTTCGAGGACTCCTGAATGGCCGCAATGGCCGTCTGGGCGGCACCCGCCAGCTCCCGGCTAAACTCGGCAGCGTGGACGCCCCCCGTGTTTATCGCTTCGTAGCTGGCCTTGAGGCTTGCCGTGCGCCTTCCCTGTTGCATGTGTTGGGTAGCGGCGATGGCCTGCGAGGCCGCGGCCGCAATCGCATTGCCACCTGCTCCGATGTGCCCGAGGTTGTAACTCACGGGCCCGACAGAGTTGCCGAGGCCGGCACCCGGGGCAGTGGCCGACGTCGCCGGGATCGTGACCGCCTGCGGCAGCATAGACCCCGAGTTTGCCGAGGCTGGCCGTGGCTCCGCGAGGCCGGGCCCAACCCCGCCACCGCTACCGAGGCCGAGGCCGCCACCACCTCCAACGCCACCGCCTCCAACACCGCTGCTGCCGAGGCCGCTACCACCGCCGACCCCGCTGCCACCGACGCCGACACCACCGCCTCCACCACCGAGGCTGCCGCCGCCGCCACCGCCTCCGCTTCCGCCTCCGCCGCCGCCGCCGCCGCCACCGCCGCCACCGCCACCGCCGCCGACACCACTGCTACTGCTACTGCTGTTGCTGCCGCTCGGCGCTGGGATCTTCTCGACCGCGACGCGCTTCTCCACGGACGTCGAGGAGGCGTTCGAGTCACGGCGCTTTTCCCCTCGCGCTGCAAGTCAGAGGTTGCGTCGCTCAGTAGCCATTGTCATTTGGCTAGAGCTTTTTTTACCAGGTTCAACGCGACCCGAAAGTTAAATTGTGCATTTTTTTCTCAAATGAAAGTAATGTAAATAAATGACAAACAAAGCAACAACAAAAACAAAGTGTTTACTTTGGGAAGGGTGAATTAATGTGGGAGGTGACAAGAAAAAGAGAGAGAGAGAGAGAGAGAGAGAGAGAGAGAGAGTGAGTGAATGAGAGAGGGCGAGAGATGGCTGAGGAAGGTAAAGATACACTGTGCTTTATGTGAAATATTAGACGGTAAAACACTGATTCGAGTAAGGTTGGTTAGCTTTTCATTGATGAACGTTGAATCGCACAGTGACTATTTAGCAATTTAAACAAAGTAAAGTAACTCTTTAGAAGTGGAACAGTGCATAAATGATATCTGTAAAACATTTATAATCTTTTACTCACAATGACTATGATTATCTCGAGATCTACTCGAAGTAAAGCTATAACGATTTTCCTTTTGACTGCTATTGGTCGATGGCTGATCTAACTCTAAAGATCGTTTTTCTAGAATTTCCGTAATACCCTTATTATCAGCTTCCAGCTCCATCTTAAATTTATGAAGTTCTTGATCCAGCCGCCTTAAATACCTATCCACCAAATCATACATCTGATTCGCGAGGTGCACTTTCTCATCAGCATCCTCTAAGGTTTTGTAATACTCTTTTCGTATTGCTTCGTATTCCACCTCTTTCTCATTTGGCTTCAATTTCTTGGCATTAGAGAAGAAAACCTTTACTTTTTTCTCTATACTGTCCATCGAATCTAGAACGAAATTTTTTAATGACATTTTTTGTAAAAGACGCTTAGCTCAACGCACTGGACTTACTACATTTATTAATATTATATATATATATATATATATATATATATATATACACCGTACATTTGTATAACAATAAAATTATATATAAATATAATATTGTACATTGTAATATTGCATTACAACATTATTAAATTATATATTACACTTTGACTATAGAAGCAGACAATCATGTAGGTTTAATTAAAATTATTTTCCTTACAATGTAATATCACATTGTATTACATTACATTGCAGTAGATTTTTAATTTCACATTGAAATCTCAAGCATTTCTACCTCATGATATTGTTACTAATTAATTCTATTAGCCAATACTTACTTTATTCTCAGTCGTTCGGTGATAAAAAAATAATTTTAAGTCTATTAAAATACATAGAGTTTTCAATCGTTTAAACTCTGTTTCATACACAGTCTTTCAGAAGTTGTTGACAACTTGCACGATTAAATTAACCTTTAATTATTTAAATTTACACTAACTGAAATTATGTCTTATACTCCCATTGGGATTATAATATGGCAAAGTAACATTTTATCGGTAGCTTACTCTGTACACCCAAGTCCATTTCTCTCATTTCTGTAAACCTGTCCCTGAGTTCTTGTGGAAGATGCTCTATCACTGAAAAACATAAATACCACATAAGAAATAGCTCCAAAGATCTAATTTACGTAAAAGTCTATGAGAATAAACCTTAGATCCTAAATTTCACATTCATAACCCTAAACATTACATACTTTTATCAGCATCAACATCAACAAATTTATATTTACCTAAGATTATACGTATAGTTAACCCTATTGCTCGTATAAAAAACATACAGTTAACCTCAAACATTGACAAAACAAAAGCCAAAGTTATACGTATTGTTAATTCTCCAAACTCAATCGCATTACGTAGCAATCTATACGAGATAAAAATGAAACCTCAAGCGGTAGGCACCAAGTGTCTTGAACAAATTTTAAAACAACATCAACGAGGTTCTGGAGAGATGTTTTCGTTTGTAAAGGTTAGTATTCGTAGCCGAGTATCGAACGAAAGCAGTGTCTTGGAATTTAACTTACTCTCGACGTAATCCTCCAGGTAAAGCATTTTGCAGTCTCGTGTTCGGCTTCTGCCGAGTTCCGTGAATATTTATTTACAATCGTCGGACGACGGGAAGCCTCGTCGCGCTTGTGTTCACGGAAATATTCGCCAGTCGATCGGTAGCGTGGCCGAAGTCGCGCGCGGCTTTCCTTTTCTTCGAGTCCATAACCTCAAAGGACGCGCGACGCAGACACTCGGACGAGTCGTGAAGGCACTTCGGTCTTTTTGCCCTCGGGTTTACCGAAAATGAGGACCAATTCAAAATTTCATCCAACTTTTCCTGTTTATTTAACGTTAAGTACTGCTTGCCCGATTCATTTGCCAATAAAGAGCTGTGTTTATGCGGTTGTTCGCCATTTTGGATATAAAAAGAAAATACACGACGGAATGTAAATAAAAAGCAGTCGAAGCTTGTAATTATTCTATTGTTGTAGGGATTTTATCAATTATTAATTAAGTGTTAGTATTTAACAAGTGTTGCATTGTCATCGCACATCAACTTACGTTCGACGTTGTGATTTATAATTTTCAGTTGCTTAATTTACAGGAATAATCAATTTTGTATGCCTGTTGTTTGTAATATAAGTAAGAGAGTTAGGAGATCGTTCCAACAGCATAAAGTAATATATTAATTAATTTTTTTAATTTAACACACGTGTCATGTGGGTAAAGTTATGTTTTTTGCATTAATAAGATATGATAATTTGCTAGTAAGGCAGAGCAACAAAAGAAATTTTATTAACATTTCATTAATATCATTTCTCTGATAAAGCATTAAAGCTTAACAGGATCGTTTACTTGGTTATTGATTTATATAGTTTCGTAGTGTATACAAATAGAGATAGTCTGCGTATAACTTTAATTATTAACCACCAAGAGAATCGCAGGACTTGTAGGAAGTTGTATGGTGTGCGCTAGAACTTGTAAATAAATCATCCGTATGTAATGTATTTGATGGATGTATTTCATGATTATTTTTGGCATTTCTTCATTACTGCAGAATAATGATTAGACGCAGTCCAACGAGAATTGATTTGAAACTCGATGATTTGGCAGAATACGAAGCATTGAAAAAGGAACGCGATACAAAACGCGAAAATGAGAAACAACAAGGAGTATTCAATCCGCCATCGTGGGGAGGTAAAACATCACAGGCTGAAATACAAGAACGCATCGGTTACGTGCCCCAAACACCAAGAGCAACTCAAAGAAGACCTAACGTCACATTGTAAAAATTTATTTATTGGAATTTCTTGAGTTACTCAAACTATGTATATTTCTTGAGTTACTCACACTATGTAAATAAGAATTATATATATATATATATATATATATATATATATATATATGGATGTACGTATATTACAAGAAATAAATTAATTTATAATACATAGTTTTTGAATAACTGAACACATTTTATTAATGAAATATTGAATTATACATGGCAGTATTTTCATATTAGGCGATCAAATTATGTCTTAATCTTAAAAGTACTATAAAATTGTTAATTATTAAATG